CTCACCGAATTTGAATCCCACCCTTCATCCTGGCTCCCTGCAGCCTTTGGAATGGAAATTGACTTGGAGATCCAGTTCCTCCAAACATCCACCCTGACAGGTTGTACTATTCAGCTTTTCATCTAAGGCTACAGATTATGTGTGTTCTGACCCAGCTTCCCAAACACGACAAACTCTCTCAAGTGAACTCAAATATTTCTTTATTCGGAGCCCCAGGAGCCCCGGCAAAAAAGTTTCTCTCTCAATACAGGCTGACAAGACTGCCACATCTATTTATCTTTGCCCCCTGCCGTTTATACCCAGAGCTAGGGTGGGGCTTCGCTAGCAGCAGTGGCTCTTCCATCCCAAGGACCAGCCTATAGATTTCCTCTGCTCTCCTCTCCTCTGCCTTCTGCGCATCCACATGTTAGGCACTGGACGCAGCTGTTCCTCCTCTTCCTCATCAGCCACCTCCAGACCTGGGGGCTGTTGGTTCTCCTTCTGAGGGCTGACGGATGGCCCAGGCTCTGCCCCCCCCCTCTCTCTTTCTCTCTCACACACACACCGCAGGCTAATAAGTCTGTCCGGCAGGGAGATGAATAGTTGTCTGCCACACCTATTCATCTACATCCCCTGCCTTTTATTCTCCAGAGCTAGGGTGGGGCCTCACTAGCAGCGGTGGCTCTTCCATCCCAGGGACCAGCCTATAGATTTCCTCTGCTCTCCTCTCCTCTGCCTTCTGTTCATCTGCATGTCAGGCACTGTTCTTCCTGTTCCTCATCAGCCACCTCCAGACCTGGTGGCTGTTGACTCTCCATCTGAGGGCTGATGGATGGCCCAGGTTCCATATCTCTCTCTCTCTCTCTCTCTCTCTCTCTCTCTCTCTCTCTCTCTCTCTCTCTGTCTCTCTATGTCATCAAAAAACTCCACATAAAAACTCTACTCCCACGCCTCCTCCTCCTCCTCTTCTTCCTCTGATCCATCTGATGGAGAGGCCGGCGCCACAACACTGCTGTCGATTCCGTGATATACATTTTGTAGGGTTCCTTCATATTTATATCCTCTATCTGCCTGGGACTTACATCAAGAAGCCAGCCTCCAATTCTGATTGTGACGGGACCAGGGAGGGCGATAAATTCTCCATATTTTCAGTTGATTCACCCTATCAGTCAAAGAGCCATCGAGGGGCAAGAGGTGATCCTGAATCTCTCTCTCTCCTTCCTATTGTCTGTGGGATGGAAGAAAAAAAAAGCCCAAAATAGCTTTTTGCCCTGGCCATAGCACTACTACACGATACATCATAACAATTGGGGTGACTTTCTCCTTGATTTCCTGTGTTCGCTTTCTACATGGAAATCCATCAAGCCTTGCATATTTTTTTTTGCAATAATGCATCGTAGGTCCTTCTCTGTCTGATCAGCCCAGCGACTCCGGGATATCAATAGCGATCCTGAATCCCTTGTGACAATTCAAATTTACTGCATTGTCATCTGGATTGTCTGCCTGGAGACGGGGAAGGGCTGGAGAGCCAAGAAAAGACACACACACTCTCTCTCCTTCTCTCTCTCTCTCTCTCTCTCTCTGCTTCGTGGCCGTGTCATGCTTTGCATGCAAAGTATCCCGTATTCAGATCTGGCGCAAAAGAAAAAGAAAATAAATACACACCAGGGAAGACAAATGATGAGAATCAGTGGCTCGGCTGTGGGTAAAACAGTTCACTCCAATAACTCAGAGTAATCTAACACACAAACACAAATACACAAACACACAGAGTTGGTTTAGGCTGAGAGATTATGGCTGGCCCCTTATTCTCTAGTTCAGGGCATCCCAATCTTGGCACCTTTCAGAAGCAGGGACGTCAACTCCCGGAATTGGGTTGCGATGGGTTTATTAAGATTGTTAGGATGACTTTGGTGATGGTTTGTATATCTTTACTTCAAACGAATTGCCCCCTGACAACACACTTGTTCAGATAGAGGTGGACTTTTTTT